CCTTCAGGTTTTTCTAAAATAAAGCTAAAATAGATTTTTAGAGAGATTTCTTTGAATAAGGCTGCAGAGTTAAGCTGCTCCTCTTTAAAACATCAGAGGCCATTCACTGCTTCAGCACAAAAGCTTAGGGACACTACCCAGCAGTTCTGCCTCTAGTGGGAAATTAAGTTTCCACAAAACCAACTCAAGAAAAAAATTAATTTTGCCCAAAGCATTCAGTTTTCCTTTGGGAAAATCAAAACAAAAAAATTTCCTTCACCATGTGGACTTGACCCAAACCATATGTTTCAGTTTATTTTTTAACTGAACAAGAATATTTTATTTCAACTCAGTTCAACTTGAAACTGCCTCTGGGTGTGCTGTTATGGTGGATATGAATTGCCCAGGAGAATCTGGAATAAGATAATTTGCATCTCAACCGGTTAGCTGGCTCATAAGAAAATATTATTAATTCAACAATATTAAAATGTTACATTTAGATCAGCAAGACTGAAGCAAAATGTTTGGATATTTCCAAACTGAAGTTCTTCATAACTTTTCCTTCATTTAAAAAAAGTTGATATGGGGAAAGGAATGTTTAAATAGTAAAAATTGTACAAGAGAAAAAAATACTTCTGACTCCAATTTCCAAGCAACTAATCATTACATCAGTTTGATGCCACAGCTATTCCACTGAGCTCTTCTGGAATGACACTGGAATCATATAAACCTAAAGGGGTTGGAGATGCAATGTTACTGATCTGACCTCAGTGCACAGCTTCAGGTAGATAAAAGATGTATTGTAAGGTGCTCCAGTTTCTCTCTCATATTTAGCTTCTCCTTGGGACTGAAAGTATGTTGAGGAGCTTGCAGATCCTGAAACAATAACATGTGGTTAGAAAGGAGGACACCCTACAAGCCACGTGGAATACTGCACATCTTTCCAAAACTCAAGGATAAATGAGACAATCAGGCTTTTAAATGTAGGAGATAAGCCCAGCTTCTCCCAGGATTGTAGAGAGACTGAAACTAGCATTTGTAGTTACATTGAATTATTCCAGCTTCCTCTTCAGCCCCAGCTTTTAATATTCTGTTGTCGTTCAAAAGCAGTCCAGATCAAATCAATACAGGCAGCCAGTTTCACAGCAGAGATCCCTACAACAACACACCAGTTACTCTCCTCAGGTTTACAGTCATCAGGACACAGGGTGCTGGTGCTGCAACACCCAGCTTGCTCTGGATCATCGCCTGTGGACAGCAAGGCTGAGGGATGCTGCTCCAGTGTGGGTTTCAGAAAGGTCATGTCAAGCTGTTCGCACCTCACTGCAATGGCATTGGGTCATGGAGGTTGAGAGGCGCAGAATGAGCTCAACTGCATCAAAAAGAGAGCAGAAGCACATAGTTATTTGCTCTGGTCTGTAATAACTAGCCTCTGATTCGTGTCCAACAGCCCCCGATGAATGCAAACAGACATACCAAATTGTAGTAGTCTCAGCCACAACATAAATTATTCACATTCCACTTCCCTCACTTTTAGATATCAGAGTGAACAATTAATCTTTGCAGTTTATACATTTACTGATTACACAGTGTACTCAAAACATCAGAGAGCAATGGCAAACTCAGAAACGGGGGATTTTTACACCTGAAATAATCCTGAGAGCACCAAATTTGAATAATGTAAACTAGGTTTTTTATTTCCAGTCTTTCAGATAAAATTGTTGAAAAGCAGCTTTTCCAGGAAGTGTTTATATGCACCATGCCAAGCATAGAAACCCTGCCCAAGAGAACAGATTAATGTCCTACAAAAAATTTCCAGGCAGAGTTGGGGAACAGAGGAGGGGCTCTCATGAATTTGATATGTTGGTGCCTTCCAGAAATTAAAAAGCAATATGTAGACTGTTCTCATGCCAGCTGTGTTTCTAGAGACTGCTTTCTGCCTAATGTAGACCACATTATCGCCATTTTAAGATAAGATTTCACTTAATTTACATAGACTGGGACCGACTGCAGCTGTCTGTTTTTCAGTGCAGACTCTCTGCCTGGGATTGCAGGTCACAGTGTGTGAGGCTCTGCTGCTATCAACTTTCAAGCTTGTTTTTTTAAAAATGGAAGATCATGGGACCAGAACTTTCCACCTTTAGGAAAAGCAATGGTCAAGGCTGGGTTTAGACATGATTAATCACCTAGGAATTGTACCACACTGCTCTTTCAAGATATGGTGCAGGCTTAGTTTTGCCAAGGGATGAGAGCACTTGTGGAAGCCCTGGTATTCTCTTTTCGCTGGACCCCTGCAATGATACTATATGGAAGGAAAGTAATTTTGAGTTCTTGGGGGAGAGGTGGGAGCAGTGTTTTCTGCAGTAAAAAACAAAAAAAAAAAAAAAAACCTGAGATAAATAATAAAACAAGCTTGTGATCAGTGGCACATCCAACATACTTTGCTAGAAGACAGAAGATTACGGATTTGTCTCTCATATACTGACCTATGCCAAAGTGGCTTCTGATTCATCCATGTCTCATGTGCAAAGTTGAAAAAACCATTTAATATAATTTTGCCTCAGTTTCAAATATTGCCTCAGTACGTCAAATAGTTTTGGGGAGGGGACAGATTAGTTTTCATAAGGCTCTCAGACCTTGTGGTCACACATCTACAGCTAGACCAAAGTAAACGGTGCAGTCCATATATGAAGAGCTTATGACTGTACCGGCAAAGATCTTAGACAAGGAAACATTCAACTTGTTTGCACTTCACTTTTGTGTTCCTGTTGTCCAGAGCAGAGCTGCAGTCTTAAATGAGTCATTGTACCCCCTGCAATCATAGTGTTTGTCAAGGTCTAACTCAGGCCAAGTTGGGAAAAAAGTAACTTCTATAGTTGGTACACAAATATGACTATAAGTCAACTATATTTCTTCATAAATAGTGGACATCCCAGGGCTCATTGAGCTCTCCTGTAGGACAGTGGGCTGCTTGCCAGGAACTTCCCTTGAGTAGCAATGCCTCTCAAGGTTATTCCTAAAAGCTAAGGGATTCCTTGACTCAATAGATTCTCAGTAAGTGCTTAATGGCAAGATAAACTTAAAGATAAGAAGTCTTAGCTAAGTGATACAAAGGATGGATTGTGCACATATAATTCCTCAGACATAAACTATTGACCAAGATTGGGATCAAGTCTGAATTTAACCACACATAAACTCCCTCCTGAGAAGGTGTTTAGAACACAAGGATGCTTTCTGAACCTCATGACTCAACAGGTGGGTCTCCTCGACAATTTGTTTGTCCTTATCCTCTGCGCAGTAAATAATTAAGTGTACCTTGCCATCAAATCTTATTAAAACACTGTTGCATTTACTATCAAGCTTTGTTAAATCTCTGGTTTATATCTCTAAACATATTGCTACTTCTTTTTTTACAAGTGAAGTCTATCCACAACACACCCATAACTTACATTAGAGTTGTCAGAGCCCAGAAGCAGCAATCTAAGAAAACAACAGGTCACTTGGGTTCCTCACAAAGGAGTATATGTAGTCCTAGCCAACAGGTCTTGTGCCCTATTTTTCACAGTGGCTGCATTCAACAGAAGTGGAATCCACTCTCTGCATCAGATCTGCACTCTCATGTCAAGGGTATCTTCACAGGGATGGCTGCCCGACCCTCTAGAGCAGGGAGGACAAATTCACTCGGTGAGCACAGTAACTCATTTGGTTATTGTACTAAAGGAGAGAAGGAAAGGCCTCTTCTGGATCCTAGAAGGACTGCAAGGGCTGAAACATTTCTAAATTCAGCATGATCACCTTTTTTTATCTGTGTTGCCTGACAGTCTTCTGGCCTCACCTATGCGAGTGGGAAACTTTAGTACTGGGATGATACATTTCCAAATCCCACACGGACATCAGTAAGAGATACTGATTGTCAGTCCCACCTCACTGGGCTCATCTGGGAGTAAAACTGGCTCCAAAGGAACTTTGCTGTGACATGTTCTCTGTAATTGTGCCTCAGTTATCTGAATGGACTTTGGCAGGTGCTCCGAGATTCACTTTGGTAAGATTTTGGTCCGTGAAGAGATTAGCACATGTCACGTGAGCTGTTGTAATGCTTCATGTGTTTGCAGCTCCCTGGGATCTGCAGTGGAGTTAGTGATGCTGCACATAGATCTGAGCTATAGGAGCAGCCTGTAGCTCCCAAAGGGCCTGCCTGGACCCATCAGTGCCCAGTGACACTCACACTTCTCTGAGCACTCACAGTAAGCCATTGCCCTCCACATGAGGGAAATCTGCAATATATTTCAGGATGCAGCAGATCCACTCAGCTGAAATTTTGACAATTACAAGTCTCAGAAAATCTGGGAGTAGGTGTTGTGTTAGGTGGCAAATTGAAGAGTTGGCTATTTCTCCATCAGTGTCCTGGCAGCAGAGGTACAAGGCAGAAGCAGTGGCAGGCTGTTTTGTTTCCCCTCTGCTGTATACTGCTTTGCCTTACTGAACTGCTTCATTTGGGATACCTGCTTGGGAGAGGCTACTGGGATTAGCTGTTACATCCATCTCCTGACAAATGAGTGTGATATCAGAGTGACTTCAAGTTTTTGTAAATATATTACCACAGACCAGGAGTTTAAAACCTGAAGGGAACTGAATTATTACACCTTCCTTTTAAGGCTGGTGTAATTTCCTCTCTATATGGAAAAAGATTCTCACTTATATTTTTCACTAGTATCTACCACATCTAATGTAGATACTACCAGATCTAATCTACCAAGCCTTAGATTTTTTTTCTCTCTCAAGCCTGCATCCTGTAAATCCCTGTAATTGCATGCAGCTGTTTGTGAGCCATCCGCTGCAAATTGAAAGCATGCGTTGAAAAAGCCCCCAAGCAGACAACCTCTGAAAAATGAGGAGTTGAAAAAGCTGCTGGTTTACCTAAAGGATCCTCTTTGGTCTGCCCTCCCCTGCCCTGCTCTGCTGTCACTACCTTGCAGTTTATGACATCCAGATAGTGGGAGGTCTGACAACCCGAACAAGACAGCGAGCAACAAATTACATTCCTGTTGAAATCAGTAATTCCTCCGAGGAGGCTGCTTTTTCGTGAGTGTGTGCATGTGCTTTCTTTTGTGTCACCTCAAGAAGGGCTCTGATATTGTTATTACTTTAAATATAGCTTGCCCTGGGGCGGGGAAATGCACAAGGAAAGAGCCGGCAAGCAGCCTATCTCTCAGAAGAAAAGAGCAAGACTCACAGCACAGGAACTGGCTTCACTCAAGTATGCAGTTTAGAAGTCAAAAAACTATTTCAAATTACAGCATTGTGGAGGAGACTGAAGAAAAAGGGCACAAAACTGGCTAAATATAGTGAAGAATATGGTAAACCAGGGTACAAAGTGCATCCAACTGCAGTTTGAAAGTGAGCTCTGAAGTGCAATGTAAGTCTTCCTTAAATTGTATTCTTTTGTAATAGTATCTAGTTGTTTAATTTCCATTCCGGAACCATGCTGGGCCAAAAGGTACAATTAGCCACAAAAATCAGCATGGAGCAGAATGTGTAATCTCTGATATGAGGCTGAAAATGATACTGAAATATAACAGAAGACAGAGACTATCAGCCATATTATGAAAGATGCACTATAAATAAGGACATATTGAATTATTTCAAGAGAAAGATGCTGGATGGAATCTTTAATCAACTTTCTTAATAGGGAAGCAAGAGCTCTGCTGTTTAATACGGCAAGCTATTTTAATACTGCTGTGTTTAAAATTGTGTGATTACAGTTACCAATAGCAATAAGATGTAGATCCAGAGGGGAGTCCTAGTGGTTGCAAAAGTTTTTTCTCTTTTATTTCTCCAACATCTTTGCTCTCTGAAGCCTCAAATCCACGTTTTCTATCCTACAGCCTGGTTTTGCTTTTCAGCTGGATTTTCAATGTATGCCAACACTGGACTTCCTATGGAACTGAAAACAAAACATTTCAGCTTTTGGAGTAATTCTGGTATGTTTTTCTACATCACACTAGTGGCAAGAATACAGTCGACAAAAGATTGTGCTCCCTCAACTTCTGGCATGGACAGCTGAGGAATATAATGCCCAATGGTGACAAAGGGTGATAATTTCCTGGTTTTCACTATTTATCTCTGTGGTTTTGGACTTAGCAATGGATATTCTTTGTGATGAGGAGAGCTCTGTGAACCCAACTGCAAACTCCTTCATACAGATAAATCAGGAGAGAAGACTTTACAGAAATGTTTATGGAGCTGGAGAGATTAATATATCGCATCTCATTAACTTGACTGTGGACTCTGAAAATCTAACCAATCTTTCATGTGAAAGTAGTACAAGTCCACCGTGCTACTCTTCCCCGATTCAGCTTTCACAGAAAAACTGGCCAGCTTTGCTGACAGTGATAGTGATTGTTTTAACCATTGCTGGAAATATTCTTGTCATCATGGCTGTTTCACTGGAGAAAAAACTACAGAATGCCACTAACTATTTTCTCATGTCACTTGCAATAGCTGACATGCTGCTGGGTTTCCTTGTCATGCCTGTGTCAATGTTAACCATACTGTATGGTGAGTATTTGCTGTATAACCTACTGCATGTATTGAAAAGCTTTAAACATTGCATGCACATCCTGTTGTAATTATTATTTCATTCTCTGACTACAGAAAATTGTAATCATTCCATGTAAGTTGAAATACATGTAACTGGTTGATGGATGGAATAGGTGAAGTACTTGAATATTTTCCTACTTTATATTTCTAGTTACAGGCATTTAAGCACAGTCCAGAACATTAGTTTATTACTCAATTGCTGAATGAATTGTCTCAAAGTGTATATGAAGAGGTTTTGTTTTCTTTATTGCTTTCAGGATTTTTACCCTGGCTTATATTCCTAATAAGAATGCAAGATACTGCCAGTTACTTTGCCCTGCAAATATGCACAGAAGCACCTTTAGATTCAAACTAGGCAACTCTTCAATTATTTTTAATGAAGTAATACAAATGTAAATAATTTTCTTTTCCGCAAGACCCTGCTTAGGACATCTACTTACCAGCAAATGCTGGAATAAATATTTTGGGAGTTAAAAAATGGAGGAATTAATTCTGCCTAATTTTTTTGTAACATTTACAAATGCAAAGCTATGATTTCTTAAGAGAAGTTATTTGAGAATTAAGTTAATAATGGCTCACAGTTCATGCCCTTGCAGGTGATTAATAGCAGCTCTTTCTTCTCATTTTCACCAAAGCCACTTGCAGCAAGCTCACGTAGGAAAAAGCAGCACCCTGTGTGTTCAGTAACAATATTGTCAGGCTGCTACTATCTCTAAACTTCAGAAATGAGTTTCCAGTGCCACAGCTGAATTGCTACAGTTCGAGAAGAAGCTAGACAACGTCATGGGGAAAGTGAGATTGTTTACAAAGATTTCTGTTGCTTCACTATTTGGGGACTTAAGGTCTAAGCATGAACCTGTGACTTAAGGGAGATTTAATCCAGAAAACTGAGAGTTCATTTTCCATTTTCAGTATTTCTACAAAGATTGCCCTCCGTAGCATTTGCAAAATGCATTTAGCATCAGCGATGTTGTAACACTGTGATTTATTGTATTACTGTGCGATTACCTTCGGTGGGAGAAACAGTGTAGAACAGGAATTGTCCGATGGGTGAGATTTAAGTCGTGCGCGATTCCCTGAGACAAGCAACAGGGACTCCTGCTGGCCAGGCTCTGCTGCCGAGGGAAGAGGCGCCCGAACTCCGCGACTTGGGAGGGACTCGGGGTTTGGGGCGCTGGATATCTTTCCCACACGCCGTGAAGCCGGAGCCCTCATCGCGGGGAAAGGCGGCACCGCCCTCCCGGGCGACGGCAGGCGCGGAGGAGCAGCAGGGCACGCAGGGGAGGGGCTGTGTTGACTTTGCCTCCTCTCTTCATGCTTTTTCCCTTGCAAGACCACGGACGGAAGGCCTTTGCAGCGTAACTTGGGGTAGAAAATCATCTGGTGATGGACACAGGTACCAGGAGAGCCGTCGGGGTGTGGTGCACCGTCAGCCTCCAGGATGACCAGTGATGGCACGCAGGGAAACCTCCCCTTACACAGCAGCATTTGCTTGGCCTCAGCTGCTTAACTTCAGCCCCATCATATGTTGACAGTCTTGAACCCAAACTAGCAGCCTTTGCACACACCTGCTCTGCCAGGACACCTCACAGGCTGTGGAACAAGGGTGCTCCACCACCCCTTCCACAACCCCTCAAAGGGGTATGGTGACTGTTTTGCTCCAGAGAGAGATGATTTTCTTCTGGAGAGCTTTACAGCTACTGTTGGCAATTCTGGCTCCAGTGCCCAGCCATACCAGCTATGTGACTGCCCCAGTCTGCATCTTTTGGGCCAGGAAGGTTTCTCCATCCACCTAGCAGCACCAGCCTCTGCTGGAAAAAAAGACACCCAGCAAGTCCTACCAAGATGGATGTGCCCACAGAGCAGAAAATTGCCTGGAGGATATTATCTACACCCTTCCAAAGTCTTACAGCATCCAGAGTTTTCTCCCTCATACTTTCCCCTCTCTTGAACCTGTAGACTTCAAGTAAGTTTATCTGGCAGATGCTATTTTATCACTGCCCCATCCAGGTTTACAGCAAGGACAAGAGGTCTAGAAGGATGTGACAAATGTGTTCCCGAAGGTCACTGAAGCAAGAGAACAGATGTATGTTGTCCAGGGTAAAATACTTAAATGCTTTTCCCTGTGTAAACTGGCCTGGCCTGACAGAAGGATGCTATTGGGAAGTCATGCCTCTGAAAGCTAACCATCATGTAACGCACTCTGGAGACCAGATTTCCCATTGAAAGGCCAGAAATCATGATAAAACACATCCATAAATTCTGTATGGCTTGTCAGGGTCAGCTCATATTAGACCAATTCAAGAGCACCAAGAAATAGGTCTCCTCAGTGCCCACTGAGACTAAATTTAATTAGGCACAGAGCTCCTCTGCTTCTCCCTCCATTCCTGCTGTTGCAAATCTTGTACTGTGTCTCCAAAGGAGACAGGCACTCCCCAAAATACTAACATATTCTCACAATACGAGCTTTGGCATTGCCCCATGCCACACTGTTACAGGCCACTTGGATAATAGGCTCTAAATTAAATCACTAAATCAAACCAGATAAGGACATGGATAACTGCAAAACTTGCTCCAAGGAGAATTATTGGTGATTCAGGGCCTTTGGATGGTGGTCCTGCAGGGTTCTGTTTAGCCTGGGTCTGCTCAGTACTGCTCCTAACAACTCGTATAGTCCATGGAGTTTGAGCTTACAGAGTTTTCTAAAAGCACCAAGCTGGGAGAGGTTACAAGCACTCAGAGAGACAGGATGAGAGTCCTCAACAAGCATCTTGACCCCTGAAGAGAAAGTCTGAAATCAACAAACAACATTTAGTGAGGGTAAATGCAGAAGTAAAGAAGCAAACCAACTTCTGCTGGGAAAGTTTGTCCAGGCTTCAAGAACAATGAAAAAGATCTGACTGTCAAAATGTGTCATAAGCTAAACATGCATAACTAGCATGATATTTTTGTACAAAAGGCACTCATCATTCCAGGTTGCCTAAGTAAAGACATTCCATTCAACAGCCATGAAGCAATCTTGTATTTCACTTAGCAGTCAGGAGGCCTTTGCAAGAGTACCGAGTCCTGTTTTAGTCACTGAATGGTATACAAGATGCAGGTAAATTAAGCAGATTCTAGGGCAGAGAAAAAAGAAGAACAAAAGTTTTAAAAGCGTGATCTGTAAGAAAAAGATAAAGTACTTGGCTTTTCTTAGTCTGGAAGACAAAAAAAAAGTAAGCACAAAACTGGGTAAGACATGATAGCCATCTTCCAATAGCCTCCAGAAAGGAAAACAATCAATTAATCTTCATTGGTAGTGGAAAGAACAAGGAAAAAGGTAAGGCTTAATTTGCAGCAAAGAAGCTGTAGGGTTGGATATTGATGAACCCTAATGCATCTGTTTTGCATTGCATTCCCTGGAGGAGTCTATCAATATTCATTGATAGAGGAAATATCCTTATTCAAGTATATGGTTGATGCTTAAAGACAGGTGAGATAAATATCACTGGTATGCAACAAAATAATTTTTTTTTCTTCAGCTGCCACTAAATCCAACGTTTCAGTTTCAGAATTCAGGCAGCTTTGCATATCAGCAGGTGTTGATAATGCAGTAATTATGTGGATAAAAAGTCCTGAAACAAAATTGAGAACTTGCAGGTTTACAATGACAAAATTGCTTCTCTTTCCATAGATTTGCTGCCAAAAATGGGTAATTATAGCATCGGGCATTAGCATTATGCAAATAGAATTAAAAAGAAAAAACATATGCTGCCTGTAGCCTGGGAAAGAAGCAGAGTTAACCCTGAATCTACAGAGTTAGAAGGCTGCAAGCAAATGAAAACATTTTCTTTAAACAGTGTCAGGCAGCTTCTATTGAACCTACCACCTACTACTGCTCAGTACTTACTACTATCCTCCTAGAAAGACATTCCCCACTAAGACATATGTGTCACAACAAAAGATGTATGCCACATCTTTATCTGATGTCAACTTTCTCTTGTGCAGGATACACATGGCCTCTACCTACAAAGCTCTGTGCCATTTGGATTTACTTGGACGTGCTTTTCTCCACTGCCTCCATCATGCATCTCTGTGCCATCTCACTGGATCGCTATATTGCCATTCGAAACCCCATCCACCACAGCCGGTTTAACTCAAGAACTAAGGCTTTTGCCAAAATAATTGCTGTTTGGACCATATCAGTTGGTAAGTGAGATAATATTTCAGCATGTAATTGCAGATTTCTAATTTTTGAGAGGATTTGACATCTATACTGCAGTCTAAAACTTTATTCTCTGCCTGCAATATTTTGCTTTCAATAGTCTAAGAAGTGCTGTCATGTAGCAATTATGTAATGGAAATCAACGACAATGGGAAATGGAGGAGAACTGAGCAGCACTGCCACTAAAAGAATATATATCAGTGATAGGACTATTGCATTGAAGTTTGTTTTAAAGACGTGTCTATTTCTCATTTTGATTATTCATCATTACCCTAACATCTGAAAAGAAAAAAGGTATATCAACTGAAAAAAATATTTTGCTGTTTTATTTAAGTCAGTTGTTCCCAGTTTCTTACTAGGGTAATTTGGTTAAAGGGCAGATCTTCTCTGCCTTTCTTGGTACGTATGATGGGGAATTTATGTACCCTATTTAGGAGACAACAGATACCCTGTGTACAGTGTGAATGAGAGGAGTTTCTCCAGAGGACAGTTCAGAGTTACAGTCTAAAATCAGTGTTCTGAATGACCCAGCACATGAATCTCTTTTTGAACTGGCAAAACCCAGATCCCCAAAACTAGGCATGGCAGCATTGCTCTTCCATTCCCATGGTGGCAGCACTTGCAGAGCAGTCTCATGGCATGGGAGGTGGAAGTTTGGTGTGTGATGCCATTAGGGATTTCCTCACACACCTGGGACGGAGGTTCTCAAATGCTTTGAAAACACGGTTCCCTTTCTGCTCTTCTGGTTTTCCAGACCCTTGAGCTCCAGCAGCTCACTTATTCAGAGGAAAAATTCACTCTTTCGCCCTGAAAGAAATGAGTCTGTCAGCAATCAAAGGTAATTAGCTGCTTTCCTGGCTAATACAAATCATTGCAAGTGGTAACTGTGATCCCTTACCATTCTTCTGAGGGGAAGGAAAGGAGATGATTCCTACCACTGCTGCCTACCTGCTGCTCTAAATCATCTCCTGACCTCCCCTGACTCCCACAGTTTGAGAAATAGCAGTCTGGGATTTATATGATTTAAAATAGCTGTATCTTCTGCTGCACAGCAAGAAATAGTGTGAGCCCTCACTCAACAGGAGGACGTTGCATCCTCCAAGGCTTGATGAAGTTCAACTGCATCATGTGTGCCTCTGGGGTACATTCAGCTGATTGGATGTAAATGTCTAGCAGAGGCCAAGTGAACCCCACCCTAAAAATGCCTAGCTCTCAACTGTAAAGGAAACCTATAGCAACTTGGATGTAGATATCTTCATTTAGATTAGATGAATCATACCTTGTCTCTCTACAGTAACATTTTTATCAATCAAGTAGAAAACATATTATTTATTCTGTCCCGTTTTCTCAGTCTTTAAAAAACATAAAAAAGTCAAGCAGTCCTTACAATTGTATGTACTGTGTTTGTCTGCATTTGTGTGTGGTGCCTCATGCTTAGTGTGTGTGAAATTACTATCCTTTTGAAACACGAATTCACAGAATGGTCAGAATGACAATTCCAGAGGCAAACCAGTGGTCCAGCATGTTTAGTATCTTTTCTCAGACAGGGGCTCGCTTCCAGGGCATCTGAATTAGCTCCCTATTCAAATAAATCCAGAAAAATTTATTATTTAAGCCCTAATAATTAGAAAATGGTTTATGTCCTGTAGCAGGACGTAGCTTAATATTTAATTTCAAAACTTATGACTTTTCTTTGCGGTAATAACTGATAACTTATCCACTGTAAAAATGCCTTTTTAGCTCTCTAGAGAACTTTACCAGCAATAAGATTAGCTGCAGATATTTGTTATTACTGTGGCAAGGTTCCTATTTATATAACTCAGAAAAATACAACTCCTTATTTTATTGGAAATTACTCAGCTGTGTCATGAGTGAAGGAGACGGAGTCCTGCTTTACTGAAGCTGGCTAAGGACACCTGTAAGGGAACACTGGATGTCAGGAAAATAGGTGGGCTGATAGGCTAAACTCCATCTCATTCACACACATAGCCTGTCATCAAAGGAGTGAGAAGGTTAAATAGATATAAATGAGGGTAGGCAAGCACAGTGGTGTGGGCAGGAATGAAGGGTGCTGAGCTGGTTTCTAGCCCCGTGGAAGCAAGGGGCATGGGGAGATCAGCTTAAGGAAGATGGGTCAGCTCCCAGCTTGCAACTGTGTCATGGGCTAGTCACTGCCAGGCTAGACTGAGTTTACACCATGGCACATCACTGCATTATTAGGAGAAAAAAAAAAAAAAAAGGCCATTATTGTAAGGAACCTTGATAGATCCCAGATCATCCATGCAACCTGCTGTGAGTCATTCATCAACCCTGTCCTCCTGACCTGTCACCATCCAGCTCAGAATATGCTGGAAATGGGTTTCTGAAGGTTCTTTCTATGTTGTTTACTTGTAGGACATGCTTCCTGAACAAAGAGGTGCTTTATGTATCATTTACCACTCTCTAGACTATCAGTGCTATTTGGACTGACGGGGCTACAAATTATTTAACTCTGCATTTTCACATTGCTATGGCTGAGAACTCTCTCCAGCGTGAAGTGAGGGTGCTCAGGTTCTGACACAGGTTGCCCAGAGAAGTTGTAGATGCCCCATCCCTAGAAGTGTTCAATGCCAGGTTGGGTGGGGCTCTGAGCAACCTTGTCTAGGGGAAGGTGTCCCTGCCCATGACAGGGGGTTTGGAACCAGATTATCTTGAAAGTCCTTTCCAATACAAACCATTCTATGATTCTGTGATAGCTGGCACAGGCACTATTGGGCACAACACACCCTGCACAGCGCATGGTGTAGCTGGCATCTGACTTACAAATTCAGATCCAAAGTTTCGCTCTCCAGCCTCAGATAGATAACCTTTGACTTCCCCATGCTCCTGCAGTTTGCAGCTGAGCTGGTGCCCTGTGAACTCTCTGATATATTAGATGGAGGGTAAAAAGCAAGAGAAAGAAATGAAAGATGTTATATTCCCCTGTGCAGAGGTTCGTTTTAGCAGAGGAAGAGGGGGAAACAGCCAACAGCTGTGTGCTGACAGCACATTTAATAAGTTCCAGTGTCCATGCAAACAGGTCATGGCTGGATTGAACAGCACTGATGAACACAGGGGGTTGTTGGATGCTACCTTCTACCACCTCATTATGGAAACAAACTGTTTAATCCCACCACTTGTTTTTCAACTTTTTGTTCTTCAACATATCCTTTTTATACAAGAAGATCTTTCTTCTTCTGGCATTACAGTTTAATTTCTTTAACAGCCTTTGACAAAACAGTCCTGTCAAAGCTTTCTGGAAATCCAGTAACATTGTATCAGCTGGAGTACTGTTTATTCACCTGCTTTACAGACTCCTGCGAATACTTGTAGATGATTTGTACGGCCTGCAGAAGTTCTTGTAGTGCTTCCCAATCTACCCACATCTCCTTCATTATGTCTTCTAATTTACCTAAATAATTACACTTTTGTTCACTACATTTGTAATTTTCCTTCTATTCATTACATTCATACATTTTTTCAGTTATTTGATCCAAAGACCAGTCCATCGGTGATTTTCCTTCCATTGGCTTCAGTGACATATGAAGCATTTTAAAAACAGCAGAAAAAAGCATAAATAGTTTGATTGACCTGACTTATGAAATCTTGACTTTCTCAGTTTAAGAAAATAAATGTGTGCTAATATTTGTTTTTGCATTTAGTGGAAGAAAAGCATTTAGCCAGCAGCCTTTCTTTCACCATGCAATGCCATAGGCAATTGGTTTAAAATAGATTCTAATTACTGTAACAGATTCTAATCGTGTCTTTAATTCTTAAATCATCCAGTACCCACAGTGGCTAGATAATTAGATTATTTGTAGCTGTTGAAGGCAAAAGCCCATTAAACCCTGAAAATTGTTCCATTTGTTTTAAAGCACAGAGGTCATTACTGAGAACAGGTGTGAAAAGCCAAAGCATTTCTCCTTGCTAAAAAAATCAGAATTTTGAATAGAACTGGAATATATAAATTTGTAAAAATTTAGCCTCTGTAAATAGAGGCTATGCTAAAAATACAGGTAAAATACTTTTCAGTCCTAAGTGGGACTGACAAACACATTGCTTTGCAAGAGGCTAACAGTGCATCATTCCCTCTTTTAAAAATCCTTGAAAGAGCTGCATAAAAGATTTACAGTCATGAATGTTAAGTCCTTATATATATAAGATCCCGCTGTTCTTATTTCTCCCTATTCCTCTGTTAATGGTCTAAGTAATGTGAAGTTTGAAGAAACCCAAACACTCTGAGTTTTCTCTTATCATTTCTCACTCAGCCTACACATCTGTTCACTGCCTTCAGGCAGTCTCTGCACTCCCCAGTCACTAACAACTTAAATTTATTCCGTACCTCTCATGCAGAAAAAAATTCCAACATCGAGCTGGATGAAGCTGGTAAAATACCTTCCACCACATAACTCTAAAATTTTGCCATTGCTTTTGAGTCTTCAAAAATTAGAAATACTGTAGCATGCGAAGCAACATTCTCCGAAGTGCAGGGTGAAGTTACCTCCAGGTGTACAAAACAAACCAAGTGCAACTAAGCCCCTGATAATTTGGCAGTGTGACACTTTTTGCTGACACAGAGGCTTACACCTCCTCCACAGGCAGCCTGCAATTTCTCTTTGTGACTTCTTGTTGCCCTACAGAGTATGAAGGGCCAGGGAAGCAGCAGGGATTGGGAGAGTACAACCACCAGTGTCTCTGGATTGTGGTTTGCTGACAATTTTGACCTTCTTCAGCTTGCTCCTCCTTCTGCCAAGGACAGCTTTCATTTGAAAGTCCCTCCACAGTTTTCAAAAGGCACAAACAGCCAAGAGGCGGCAGGCTGGGAATCCCTGTCCCAACTTTGCTACATATCTGTTTCATCCAGATGACATAATGTGCCATTTCATTCAAGTCTATTTTAGGGATGGACTGGTATAGGAAAAGACAATTTGTTATAGCATGGAATATACTGCCAAAATATATAAAA